GGCCTCTTCATATGGATTACTAAACTTTTTGTCCAGCCCTCACTGGTCTTTGAAGGCTCAACTTTCTGGCCCTTCAAGATTTCCAGGCTTATCTTGTACAATTCTTGGCCTGGTCCTGAAATCAGCCATCTCCTCAAGAATCCAAAAATCCTCTGGTGGAAAACGGTTCACAAGTTAGACCTCAGGATAATCACTATAAGCAAGCTGCCATCACTAGTAGGTTTTTTAACCATTAGAGTGATGAAGTACGCAATTCTTTTAAAAAGAAAATAATTAAATGTTACAAACTTAAGCTTTGAAGCTTTAAGACTGCAAGGTTTTACTTAAGTTTTTTTTTTTTGTTTTATACTTGAACCTCTTTCCTCTATCCACTGATTGTCTTACTTTAAAATAATATTAGCTTTAATTACATACTTGCTTTTTAACCTATATCATACATGGGATACTTTCACAATAGCAGAAGCGATATCACCAACAATAATGTGTTGGATATAGTCTCAAATTCTTTGCTTTTTTGTTTTTGGTTTCCTTTTGGTTTTCTTTTGGGTGTGGGGGCAAGTTTTTGTTTCTCTTTGTCCTTAGAAGACATTCCACTCTGAATACAGAGTCAAAATTCTGCATTTTAAAGCCACTTACTTAGGTAATGTTTTGTTCTGGGCAGTTATGTCATCGACTTGCTACAATTAGTCTCATTAGTCTTAGTTTCTTCTCAGCTTCTACAGATGTGCTTATCTATTTTTTGATCCTGTAACATATATATATGGTTGCAAATTCAAACTATAAAATAAGAAAAATCACTTCCTTCTCTGCCCCTCATCCATAAGTTATATTTTTAGTAGTTTTTTACTTATTCTTGCCCTCCTTATTCTTGAAAATAGACATATGTGTATGTAAAAGTAACAAACTATAAGCACTTTTTTGGTCCACTTTTTTAAACAACTGAACAGTGTACCCTGAAGATCTCACCCATCCCACTCTTCCCTCTACCCGCATCCTACGTAGGTGTTGGGATGCCCTGTGCCTTCTTCCACACTTCCCCGCAAATGGTCACTTCCGGTATGTTTGTAATCTTTTGCATTTACAAACAGTGTTGTAGTGAATAGCTTGTGCATATGGTGATTTCTACTTTTGCCAGTGTATCTTTGGAACAGATCCCCTAGAAGTAGAATTGTTGAGTTAAAGGGCATATGTGTGTGTCATTTGTTAGATGCTGTCAAATCCACTCTGTGGAGATTGAACAACCAATAATGAATGTAAACAATGTGCAAAAATATGGGTTAAGACATAGCGTCCTATCTATCCACACCTGGTGACTGGGGAGCCTCTTGATGTTCTACCCAAGGGTCAGACCTGGCTAGACCTCACGCAGGAACACCCAGGCTCTGAGAGTCCTGGAAGGAGCCATGAGGCACCACTGTCTTTACTTTGGCTGAAATAACAGTTTAACAGGCAGCCCTGTTCATCTCAGGCTGAGCAGGAGCTCTGCGTGATTTTTTTTTTTTTTTTGGACCTCTTTGATTGATAAAAACACTTCAAAATTATCTCTTTCTATGCTTGGTTTAGCAGTTAAAATGTTTCAAGGCAAAAAAAAAAATGTTTCAAGGCATGAATTTTATTAGGGAATTAAATCAGAATTCTATCCACTTGTCCTCAGCAAATGGATATTATTAAATTCACTGGTTTATATGACACTGCTGATCTTTCTTCACAAATGGAAGGAAAATTAACAAAGCTAATATGTATTCAGTCTCTTACTCAGTCAACCAACTTGAATTGGATCCCCCCACCCCATCCCCTCTGTACTCACACTTCTAGGCCAGAAATAAAAATCTGCACAGTCTGAAGGCTGAATCCTTCCAGCTTTCAAATCCCTTCAAATGAACAATGTATGCACATTTGTTGGAAAATTGGCTCACACTATATTTTTTTGCAAAAAGAAAAAAAGTTCAGTTGCTAACATTTAAAAATCAGGAGATTATACATAAATTTACAGATTTCTGACTTCCCTCGTAAACTTGGCCAACCAGCCTGCTTTCCATTGTGGCAGCCAGTCCCTGGTTGGAGCAGAGGCGAGGCTTCCCCCAGTGGCAGGACCTGTGTTGCCCAGTGTCCAGGATATCTACCCAGCCTTTCCATTCATTTCTCTTGCTTCCTGGCCCATAAATCTGTGAGAACTGACCATACTGCTAGCCTCTGAAGATACAGACCACATATGTGTTACTGGACTTTGACTTTCCAGCGCCCTACCCAGACTCCAGCACACAGGGCTCTCTTTATATGTTTGGTGGGTGATATAAAGTATCTGGTGGATGTCTTTCTTGTATCTTGTGCAACACCTTTCTTACAATACTAAAACCATGTAATTGCAATACTGCTCCAGCCTAGATCTTTGATACAGACTGGCAGCAAAGGTGCCCCTGATCTGTGCCAATGTGCCACTACCCAAAGCCACTCATATGTCACTGGGCTGCTCCTAAAGTCTTCACTTTACTGTTTGATCTCTTTCCCACCTAGCAATCTCCTCCCCAACTGAGCACAGCCGTGCACATCTCATGTCATCTCTAGAATGACCACACGAGATCATGAATGTATAGCATGGCCCCCAGCATTTCTGTTTATCACATTCTTAGCAGTGTTTTGTCTCCAAGTTGGCAACAGTCTCCCCATTCTTAGTTTAGTTTAATTTTTCAGCTAAGCCTCAAGGAAGAGATTACAGTAGAAATCTCTGTAATCTGAGAATTTTCCAAATCCCATGTGCACAGAGACTGACAGAGGTAAACATTTTATGGGAATTCCTGTGGCAAAGTGGTAAAGAATCTGCCTGCAATATAGGAGATCCAAGTTTGGTCCCTGAGTCGGGAGGATCCCCTGGAGGATGAAATGGCAACCCACTGCAGCATTCTTGGCTGGAAAATTCCATGGACAGAGGAGCCTGAAGAGTCCATGAGGTTGCATAGAGTCAAAATGACTGAGCACACACACATGACCTTCCTTATCAGAGCCATTAGTGGCCTAAAGAGGCAAATCAGGGCAGGTCGGAGCATATATAACTAGGAGCTTGTGTTCACCACTGCGAGCTCAGGACTTAATCTTCCCTGAGTCCTTGGAGCCAGGAAAGAAGCATGAAGTGGCTTGTGCTGCTTGGACTGGTGGCCCTCTCGGACTACATAGTCAAGTAAGTATGGGGAGAGTTAGTGGCATCATCTCTCTTTCTGGGATTTGTCTTGTCATCCTCTTATCCTTCCACCCATCAGGGTTAGAAGAGAAAGTAATTCCTGGCAGTCCAAAGATCAACTCTCACCCATTGATGAGACCCTCGTCATGGGCACTGTGGGGTGAAAGCATCTTGAGGTAGGCCTGCAGGGTTGCACAACTCTGGGGGTGCCAGTCACATTAGGATCTATGTAAGGATAGCACTCCCTGAAATTGTTCACTGCACAACCTGCGCAACTCTAGGTGTGGTGCTGTGGAAACCCATTTCTCCTGAATTTGCCTCAAGGGCTTGTATTTGCGCTCTCTCCTATTCTGTGTGTATGTATTTACGTCTTCATCTGTGCAAGCGACAAATGGTCATATGGCTTACCCAAGATTACACAACAGAACCTGTATGCAGACCTAGGTTTTTGACATGTCTTTGCACGGCATTCTGATAAAAGGTGACACTCATAAGAATGCTTGGAAAATACACGATGCCATTACAATGCCAGATATGACAGTCACACTATAATACAGACAGCTGATTGCTAACCCTTCTTAGTTTCCGTTTTCCCCATGCTCAGTAAAAGAATCCCTATAAAGAAGCAGCAGACCCTGCAAGAAGTCTTCAGGGTAAAAATCCTGACAAAAAATTTCCTGGAAGCAAAAGCTTACAGTCTGTCCCACAATTCTGGTGTTTACCAGCGTTTCTCATCTCATCCTCTGAGGAACATCTTGAACCTGTGTTGGGAGGATGGTGCTCCACAGCGCCCCCTGGTGCTCTGGCCTAGCACAGGGGCTCATCTGGAGGTGCCAGGTGGGATGCTTGGACTGGGGCTCCTGAAGGAGGCAGAAACAGTGGGGAACAGGGACCCCATTCCCAGAGGAGAAGGCACTCAAATCCTCAAATCTTGGTCTGTGGTGACTGGGCCCATCAATGACCAGGTGGCAGGTAAACATCTATTTCTGTGCCAAAGACATTAGATTGAGGGAGATTGTTCTTTCTGAACAAAGTGAGCTGTTGAGTTAAGATGAAGAGTGAGCCATGACTAATCAAAAGATAGCCAACTGCAACCAAGTGTGAATCCTCAGGTAGAGAAAGGTCACCCTCTGCAAATCCAAGAATGATACCAGAAAAAAGTTACTGAGCCCCAAAAGCATGTGAGGCCATAAAAGTCCAAGACTATAGCTATTGTTTCTGGTGTTTTTTTTTTTTTTTAAGAGTCTTATCTCCAGTTTTTTAAGGAATCTCCACACTGTTCTCCATAGCGGCTGTACTAGTTTGCATTCCCACCAACAGTGTAAGAGGGTTCCCTTTTCTCCACACCCATAGGTCTTCATAGAACCATTCAACTTCAGCTTCTTCAGCATTACTGGTCAGGGCATAGGCTTGGATTACCGTGATATTGAATGGTTTGCCTTGGAAACTAACAGAGATCATTCTCATTTTTGAGATTGCATCCAAGTACTGCATTTCAGGCTCTTTTGTTGACTATGATGGCTACTCCATTTCTTCTAAGGGATTTTTGCCCACAGTAGTAGATATAATGGTCATCTGAGTTAAATTCACCCATTCCAGAAATTACAATAGTCTCTCTGTATTCTGAGAACTTTCCAAGTCAGATACACACAGAGACTGATAGAGGTAAATATTTTATGGAAAGGTTCATATTTCTTATCAGATCCACCACTAGCCTAAAGGGGACAATTAGGGCAGATCAGAGCATATATAATTAGGAGCTCTTGGTCACCACTGCATGCTCAGAACTTGAACTTCCCTGAGTACTTGAACCCAGGAAAGAAGCATGAAGTGGCTTGTGCTCCTCAGGCTGGTGGCCCTTTCAGAGTGCATAGTCATGTAAGTATGGGGACTGTAAGTAGCATCATCTCTCTTTCTGGGGTTTCTCTTGTCATCCTCTCATTCTTCCACCCATCAGGGTTAGAAGAGAAAGTAATCACTCCCTGGCAGTCTTCAACTTTCACTGATTAATGAGAATCTTGTCATGGGCACCATGGAGGGCAAGGTTCATGGGGCAGGACTGCAGGATTGCATAACTCTGGGAGTACCAGTCACATCATGACCCATATAAAAATGGCACTCCTTGGAATTGTTCAGTGCATGACCTGTGCAGCTGTCGGTGTGATGCTACAGAAAAGCATTTATCCTGCATTTGCTTCTAGGTCTTCTCTCTGCTCTCCTTCCTCTGCTGTGTGTATGTGTCAGTGTCTTCATATGTGTAGGCTCCAAACGGTCATCTGGTTTACCCAAGATTACACAACAGAACCTGTATGCAGACCTAGCTCTTTGACATGTCTTTGCATGGCATTCTGATAAAAGGTGACACTCATAAAAATGCTTGGAAAATACACAATGCCATTACAATGCCAGATACAACAGTCATACCTGGTTACTGACATTTCTGTTTCCTTTTCCCCATGCTCGGTGAAAGAATCCCTATAACGAAGATGAAGTCCTTGCAAAGAATCCTCATGGAAAATAACTTGCTGAGAAGTTTCCCGGAGCCACAATCTTATACCCTGTCCCAGAAGTTGACTCTTGACCAGAATTTCTCATCTCATCCCCCAAGGAACCTCATGGACGTGAGTGCATTGGGAGAATCGTGCTCCACAGTGCCCCCTGGTGTTCTGGTCTAGAATTGAGGCTCATCCGCGGGTGCCAGGTGGGATGTTGGGGCTGGGGCTCCTGCAGGAGGCAGAAACATTGGGGAACAGGGACCCCATTTCCAGAGGAGAAAGCACTCAAATCCTCAACTTTTGGTCTGTGTTAACTGGGACCAATTACGACCAAGTGGCAGGTAAACATCCATTTATGTACCAAAGGTGTGGCATTAGTTTGAGGAAGATTGTTCTTTCTGAAATAAGTGAGCCACTCAGTTACAGATGAAGGGTGAGCCATCTCTGATCAAAAGGTAAAGCCAACTGAAAATCAAATGTGAATCTCCAGGCAGAGAAAATTCATCCTCCAGAGATCCAGAAATGACACTAACTTTCTGAGTCCCTAAAGCATGTGACTCCAAATGGTCTAACACTATAGTTACTGTTATTTTTTTTTTAATAGGAGTTTTTCTCTTCTTCAAGAATGCATGGGAAAGCCATGAAATTCTCCAGGCAAGAATACTGGAGTGGGTTGCCATTTCCTTCTCCAGAGGATCATACCAACCTAGGGATCGAACTCGGGTCTCCTACACTGCCGGCAGATTCTTTACCACTGAACTACCAGGGAAGCCCATATAAGCAAGGCAGAGAGAGGCAAAAATTGAATACATGTCAAACAAGGGGCCACTTTCATGTTTTTCACAGGACATACTCTGAGTTTAGCAGGAGTGGCCTGGAATGACATAGGAAGGCCAGCTGGAGAAGGAGGCACTAGAAAGTGAAAGAAAGTGAAGTTGCTCATTCATGTCTGACTCTTTTCAACCCCATGGACTGCAGCCCACCAGGCTCCTCCATCCATGGAATTTTCTAGGCAAGAGTACTGGAGTGGGTTACCATTTCCTTCTCCAGAGGATCTTCCAGACCCAGGGATCGAACCCTAGTCTCCCGCATTGCAGGTAGACACTTTACCATCTGAGCCTCCAGGGAATCCCAGTTGTTATATATAAAAAGGAGGTGCTAGGCTGAGCCTTAAAGAGGAAACTGGAGAGCTTCTCAAATGAAGGGACCTCTGAGCAGAGTTTGTGAGGAGGAGAGGTTGGAAGTGATTTCAAGCCCTGGGATGCCCAGAGGGAGGCAGGACAATGGGAATCAAGGGTGGCCAGGCAGCCAAGTCTGCCCCAACCTCCGCCCCTGGCCCCTATATATGGCCTACGTTGGCAGCATCACCACTGGAACACCACCTCAAGAGTTCCGGGTCATCAATGACACCAGCTCGTCTGACCTATGGGTGGCCTCTGTCTACTGCCGAAGTCCCTCCTGCTGTGAGTGCCTGCCCCCCACCCATCTTGTCCTCCCCCACTTTCTCCATCCTTGACATCTGACAGATATGGGTCTCTTGTGTTGCCAGCTGCATACCAGACATATGACCCCAAGATGTCCACCACCTTCCGATGCAAGTGGAGGAAATTCAACCTCTACTGTGGCTTTGCAAAGATAACAGGAGTTCTTGCCAGTGAAACTGTTCAGGTAATGGGGGAACCAGGGGCTGAGTCCAGGCTGGCCCTGGGAGCAACCACTGCTTGCAAAATAGATGCAGGACCAGCTAGGAGGGACTGTCTTTCTGAAAGCCCCCTCGTGGCTGGCCACATGCCCAGCAGGGCCCTGTCCCTGGGGAGACAGCACCCCTGCTGACACACAAACTCCCAAAACAACGAACCCCAGAGAGGGGCTTGGGGGTGGACTTGCATCTCCATTACCCAAGGTGCATTTTTGCTGGAGCAGGAAGAAGGGGGAATAAAGCACCCCCTTTTATAGTCACGGGCTCTACAGGGCAGTTTCATGGTAATAACTTGTTTTATCCTGCAACATCCCCAGGCAGGAGGCACTATTATTAGCTCAGGATAAAGACTGGGACATGAGGTGCACAGAGCGAGGGCCTTGCCAAGGTCACCTATTTTTTAAGTGGAGCTTCACTGACCTTCAGGACTCAAGTAGGTGTGGGTTTGGGGAGAGGATAAAACTGACCTGGGGCCCCTGGGGCAGCACAAGGCTTCAGGTATCCAGGCAGGGGAATCAGGGGTCAAGGTGTAAGATGGGCCTGATAAAAGGGTTCTCACTCTAGGGGGCCTTTGAGACTAATAAAAACTGTGGTCTGCCCCCCCCACACACACACAAAGTGCCTGAGTATGCTCTCCCTGTGTTTCTCTGTCTTGGTCTCTCTCTGTCTCTGCCTCTCTCTCTCTCTCTCTCTCTCTCTCTCTCACACACACACACACACACACACACACACGCACTCACACACAAGTGTGCACATCCCCAAAAGCCTGCTTTCCAGGCAGAATTTTCATTAGAACCCAGCCAGTGACATTGCATAGTGACTTCTGTCTTCCTGGGTACATGTAGAATCCACAATGCATTGCAATGAATTCAGTTCATGTTTGTCATCAGATCATGAAAGTGAAAGTGTTCGTCACTCAGTCTTGCAACCCCACGGACATAGCTCGCCAGGCTTCTCTGTCTGAGGAATTCTCCAGGCAAAATACTGGAGTGGGTTGCCATTTCCTTCTCCAGGGGAACTTCCCAACCCAGGGAATGAACCTGGGTCTCCTGCATTAACAGGCAGATTCTTTACTGCCTGAGCCACAAGGGAAGCCCATCAGATCATAGTGATGCCAAAGAGAAGACTAGTCTGGTCTCTATTCATTGTATCCTTAGAGGGGGACCATTCAGTCCTGTCCTGAGTCTGGTTGCCCCACCTGTACAGAAGACATGAGACCAATTTGACTCACTCAGATGGTGTTTTCAGGAGAAGCAGGTGTTGTTAAAATCCACAGCCCCACACAAATGGAAGCCCAATGCCTATCCCAGCTTGTCCTACCCATCTGAGGTCAACTGAGGCCTCAATTCTTCTCTGCAGTGTGAATGGCATTTGCACCAAACAGCCCAGCCTCACTTCCCAACCCTTTATGTGGGAACACTCTCCTGTCTCACAAATCAGGACAGCTGTTGCCAAGAACCAGACATTTGGCCTGACCAAGAATAAGATTGGTGGGTTCCTGGAAAATTCACCTTATGATGGTGTCCTTGGCTTGGCGTTTCCCAGCCTCGCCAGGTGTGAAGCCACCCCCCTCTCTGACAACGTGAAGAGACAAGGAGTCATTTCTGAACCTGTCTTTGCCTTGTTCATGAGCAGTTAAGTCTGAGCTGGACAAGCCTTTCCTCCAAACAAGCTCTAAGATGCTTCTAGTTGCATAAAAAGGCAACTTCCAGTTGCACCTCATCCAGTAGATTCCTGAGTGATAGTCTAGCCGAGGAGAACTATGGCCCCAGGATCACAAGTGGCCCCATCACTGGGTTTTTGTCAACAAAAATGGTTGTGTTTCATTGCAACACAACCATTCTCATGGATTCAAGGGTGCAGTTTGGTCCAGCAGGGTGGAGGTAGGAGGAAGAGAAATGGTCCAGGATATGGCTGGAGGAAAAGGCAACAGGATTTGCTGATGAATTTGATGCAGAAGGAAAGGGATGGCGGGAATGTTTCCTTCCTCACTAACATTTCACCGGGAACCAAGGACGAGCTACAGAATTTGCAGGAGCCAGCACAAAATGAAAATGTGAAACCCCTTGTTTGAAACATATTAGGAATTTTAAGACAGGGAGAGTGGAGGTGGGTGGCCTGCTCAGCTTGAAGTCCCATGGACAGCACAGGTCACAGGCAAGAGAAGTCAACCCTGGGTGAGCCTGAACCCATGTTCTTCGCTCCCTCAGACATCATCTTTCCTGAAAAATGACAGGCTAGACAAGGAGGAAGCCTGACCCCTCCAGCATAGAGTCCCCTGAGGGTGTATCTGAGCATTCAGGTGGCTGGAAAGATCCAGACCCTCTTCAGAAGCATGGGTGGTCGGAGCCAGGCCTGATTGGAGCCAGGCTGCCCAGCTTCGAACCTCTTCTGTGACACTCGTTAGATGGGGACCGACCCTGGTCAGGTACGCAAGCTCTCCAAGCATCCGTTTCCGCATGTGTAAAATGGAGACCATAGTAGTGCCTCTGACGGGTGAAGAAGCGCAGCCCTCAAACAGTGGCTGGTGTTACCCTCCTCCAACGAGACCCTTCTTCCTCCTCTCTTCAGCTGGCCACACAAGAGCAGCTTGCTGATGCTTGGTGGGGTGGACCACGCCTACCACAAGGGAGCTCTCAAGTGGGTACCGGTGACCCAAGCCCGCTTATGGCAGATAACTGTGGACCGGTAAGTCTGCCCCTCTGAGGGCCACCGCAAATGATGCTGCCACACATGCACATGGACACATACAGACACACACAAACGCACTCACAGTCACACACAGACATATGCTCCACACGCATGCACACATAAAAACACATACAGAGACACATATAAACACCTACATAGGCAGACATATAAACACTCACAGACACACAGATGCACACAAACACACACATGGGAGCACACACCACCCATGGGTTCATAGTTGCCCCAGACCTCCTGATCAGGCCTCTCACCAGGATCTTGAAAGGGTCCAGAGAGGCCTGGGCAGCTCAGGGAGAGCTGCATTCCTCTGCTGTGAGGTGGGGAGCCTGGTTAGAGGACCCTATAGTATGGTGAAAAGAGGATCGGGGGAATTTCACCAACCTGAACAGAGTTGTGTTAAGATGACCTACTGACCAGGGCCACCCAGGACCTAGGGTGTTCTCAGGACACAGAATTGCCAGTTGAAAAGCTGAGAAAGTCCTGAAAAACTGGGAAAACTGGTCTCCTCAGAGAGAAGTTATGCAACAGTGGAGTCTGGCTGCAGTCTTGAGACCTGAGAGCAACACATATAAAGAGACTCCCCACCTAACCAGTGTTACTTGCCGCCCACGCTGGGCACACAGCGGGGCAGGGGCTGTGCCTGAATCAGGAAGCTGGGATCCAGGCATGGCCTGAGAACAAGGGGCGAGAATTGATGGGATTCTCTGTGATAGCCTCAGGCCAAAGCTCACCTGCTCTTTGGAGGCCCCTGGGTCTGCTCATGCTCCCCTGGCAGGGACCTCAGGGTCTGAGTCGGGTGAGGGGGCAGTGCTGGGAGACAAACTCTCCCAAGGCAGCCTGTGTCTCCCCCACCACTGCTCTGACCATCTGCTGCCCTAGAGACCTCCATCTTCACTGGCTGGACCAACCCATCATTGGGGAGACACCAGATACAGGGCTCCGGGTGTTCCTCATTCATTCATTCAACAAACATACATTGTGCATCGCCTGTGTGCTGGGCGCTTGAGGGAGGCACTGAGGATACAACTTGCCCTCACATCTAGTGAGGCAGACGTATGTGAAACAACACGAAATGAAGTTCACACACAGTGAATTACCACCTTGGCACATGCTAGACATAAGGAAGAATCTACAGAGTCTGAGAACAACAGGGGCCTGATCTAGTCTGGAGGGAAGACTTTCCTGACAAAGTGGCAGTTAACCTGGAAGATGAGGAAAAATTAGCCGGACCAAGGGGATGGGGTCTTCTAGGAAGGGCACCAGCACAAACTCAGGCCCTGAGACACGAAAGAGCCTGGTGCCGGCAAGAACTGAAAGAAAGTTAAAAAGATGATGTGACCAGAGGAAAGGAAAACTGAGTCAGGGTAAGAGCTGAAGGGCAGTTCAGAAGACAGTCAGCCAGGGGGCAGTCATTGAAGAGACTTCAGAGTGACCCTGGTGCCCACTTTGTCCCTCTGTCTCTCAGCATCTCCATAAACAAAATGGTGGTTGCTTGTTCTCGCGGATGTCAGGCTATTGTGGACAGTGGGAGCTCAGTGCTGGCTGGCCCAACTCAAGTGGTCCACAACATCTTCAAACACATCAACCCCAATCCCAAAGAGAAAAACCAGGTGAAGGGTCATGCCACAGGATCATTCTTGGGCTCCCCACACACCAAGGATCACCTGGGCCAACCTCTCTCCTGCTTTCTTTTACAGCAGTTGATTTCATGTGATCAGGCCAAGACCCTGCCTCCTATTAACTTCACTATCAATGGCATGCACTTCCCAGTGTCCCCTAAATACTACATCCAGAAGGTGAGGGGATAACTTTGGGGGCTGGTTCCCAAATTTGGGATTTGCAAGAACTCTTGGGCTGCTGTTGGGAGGAAGAGGCCTTCTATAGGCCAAGCCACACCATGGCAGATGCTGCTGAACCCCACTGGCTGGGCCAGCGCCTCCCACAAAACCAACCACGTGAGAGTAAAGGGCGGTCTGGGACATCCCTCCTCCTGCAATAAATGTGGAGACACCACCCCATGCTGGCGTGGTGAGAGTCACAAGGAGAGGGGAACACTGAGGGCCTCAGTCCTCACAGAGCTTGAGGTCAACCAGAGACCTCAGATACAGAAACATGGAAAGTCAGCTCTAGCAATCCCTGAAATAGAACAAGTGACAAGAAGGATGTCTGGGGACAGTCTCATTGTGCTGTCCCACCACAGGGGTTAACAGTCTCCCCTTCCCAACTCGAAAGTCTCCAGGTGGAGATCATAAATTACATGCTTACCCTAGAACTTCGCTGCAACTTGACACTCTGTGAGTTGGGGTACTGATCCCTCTGTGGGGAGGTTGGATGCTAAGGTAAATAAAGGAGCACAGTGACTGCTCAGCCCCAGCACAGGGTGGAGGCTTCATGTCAGCTCCTTGTGGGACTTCAGAGCAGGCTGATGGGCTCAAAGGAGGCTTTGGAGAAGAGAAGGAATTGCAGTAATTCTAAACACCCCAGCCTCATGGAGGAACGAGGGAGCCTGCTTGGGTTGAGGTAATCTATATCGGATTCCTTACAAAAGGCAGCCCCGGGGACTATGCAAAGGGGTCCAGGGGCAGATGAGGGGTGATATGGGCTACAGACTTGGGGAGCTTCAAGATAAGTCACCCAACCCAGCCTGGTGTGACCAAATAGTGTGAGTGTGGCACCAGAAAGATTTCCTAGACTGCCTGAGCGAGTATAAAGAATGCATTGTGACAATGCTATTTACAATGGGTAACCAACAACAACCTACTACGCAGCACAGGGAGCTCTGCTCAGTCTTAGGTGGCAGCCTGGACGGGAGGGGAGTTTGGGGGAGAGTGGGGACATGTATATGTGTGGCTGAGTCCTATGGCTGTCCACCTGAAACTAGCACAATACTGTTAATTGGCTATCCTTCAATACAAAATTTAAATTTTTTTTAGAAAAAGAATGGGTTGTGGGCAATGGGGAGAAGAATAGGTATTCCCTGTGGAGGAAAAAAGAGGGCAGGAGTCAGAAGGAAAGAAACAGCAGTATGTGAGGGGAACTATGGGCCATTCTTGTTCTTTGTTTAAAAAATACATTGAAGTAGGACTGATTTACAAGGTTGTGTCAATTTCTGCTCTACACCTAAGCCACTCAGTTTTATATACATTCAAATGTATACATGCTGCTGCTGCTTATTTGCTTCAGCTTGTCTAACTCTGCGAGACCCCAGGGACTGTAACCCGCCAGGCTCCTCCATCCAGGGGATTCTCCAGGCAAGAATACTGGAGTGGGTTGCCATGTCCTCCTCCAGCGGATCTTCCCGACCCAGGGATCGGTCTCCTGCACTACAGGCAGAATCTTTACCACTGAGCCACCAGGGAAGCCCACAAATATATACCAACTCTTTTTCATATTCTTTTCCATTACAGTTTATCATGGGTTACTGAATACAGTCACCTCTGCTATACAGTAAGACTTTGTTATTTAAATATCAAATATTAGTTCGCATCTGATAATCCCAAACTCCCAATCCTCCCCTCCCCACACCCCTCTGTCATGGCAACCACATGTTTTGGCCCTTCTTGTTCCTATACCCTCACTTCTGCAGCTGCTATGAGAGCCACTTGATTCTTCCCAAAGAACGGGAAAAAATGGAAAAGCTCTCTGCTCTGGATATTGAGGGGGGTGGCAGGTAAGTGCTCACACTGGTGTGTATTTCTGTCTCCCCCAGGTTTTTGAGGACATCTGCTTTGTCAGCTTTCAAGGGGGCACAGAATACATGAGCCCCTCAGACACCTGGATCCAGGGTGACATCTTCCTGAAAGCATATTTCACAGTTTTCGATCAGGGAAACTATAGGATCGGCCTGGCTCCCTCAGTGTAAATGCTGGGCTGCTTCAGGTATCACTCAGGCCCACTCCAAAGACACACTCACACATAGGGCACTCCCTCCCAGGGATGCCAAGGCACTGGGTTTGGGGCTCTGCAAGCCTTGCCCTCAGCAGAGAATAAAGGAGTTCATCTCAATGGAGCTCATACAAATGGCTGCCTCTCTTTGAGTCAGGAAGGTACATCACAACCAGGCAGGATCTAGAATCAAGTCTGAGCCACAAACGAGAGGAGCTCAGCTGCCCAACTCCAACTGGCTTCAAGAAAGGGGAGACTTACTGGAAGGACACAGGGATCCGGGACACAGGAAGGAGAACAGATCCAAAGATCTCAGTAGACTGGACCCAAGAAATCAGAAGCCATCAGTTCACTCTTTCCCTCACTCTTTCCCTTCTCTCTTCTTTGATTCTCTCAGCCTGACAGCTTTCTTCCCTCAGGTTTCTACACCTAGTGAGTTTCAAGCTGCCTGCCTCACGTCTTTATCTCTCTAAGGCAACTAACCAGTAAGGAAGAAGCTCAGAAGACATCAGAATTCAAGGCAGGGCTCTGATGGACCATCTCAGACCATGTGTCCAGTCCTGGACCAAGCATGCTGGCAGGGGCACGGAGTCTTATAATTGGCTTAATTCGTCACCAGGCCCTGCCCCCAGAGCATGTGATTGACCATGCTCATTAACAGACCCTGAGAAAGAATCATTTTCTTCTTTTCTTATCCTTCCCTTCTTTCTTTCTTCCTTTTCTCCTCCTTTAATTCCTTTCTTTCTTTTGTCTCCTCTGAGCATTCACCTCCACAGAGCTCACAAACCTAGGTGTGAGAAAACTTCAGATTCCTCCAAGGACCACATCAGTCAAGAGAACGACAAACTCAAGATGTCTGGATGGAACTCAGATCAGTAGAATTTAGTTTTGTGCTCCCTTCATGGCTTAGTGGTCAAGAATCCCCACCTGCCAATGCAGGAGACATGGGTTCGATCCCTGCTCCAGTAAGCACCCACATGCCAAAGATCCATTAAGCCCGTGCACCACAACTATGGAGCCTGTGCTCTAGAGTCCAGAGACCACACTACTGAGCTCACGTGCAGTCATTACTGAAGCCCACATGCCCTAGAGCCCAAGCTCCACAACAAGAGGAGCCACTGCAATGAGAAGCCAGCAAATACATTCAATTGGAAATAAGACAATGGGGTAAAAACCCCAACATGGTCATTTACTGTGCAGCACCGTACCTAACTAGGACTCACTTCTAGGATTCACTTCATCTGCAAAATAGGCTCGTCACCTAACTTGAAGTGTACCCAGAATCTCGTATGTTTACAAAGCCCTAGAACACTGCCAACAGCACAAGGCAGCAAGGCAAAAAGAATAAGAGCTACTGCTACCCTAAGGAACAGCAACGACAAAAAACAGAAGCTGCCCAGATGAAATCTACAAAGAAAATTTTCTGCATAATGGAAAATACAAAGGCACCAAGCCAAACTTCTGAGATAATCTAGGGGGGAAAAAAGCTTTTCTGGGGATATGACTGTCCCGAGTTCTCATTTCAGAATCCAGTCTTTCTCCCCAAGTGCTAACTCCCAGGCCTGTGTAGAGTCACAGCTTTGGACAACAGTCAAAGAAAGTCTTCTTTCCCAAGTCCCTCTGTCACCACCAGCAGCAGCTCTAGGGCTGACAGTCACAGACCCCACAGGTTTAGCATCTTGGGTGCACCAGTAGGAAATGGGACTACTGGGTAAGAGGCAGGCAGCCGATGAAGGGGGTGGAAAAGCCCCCAGCCAGCAACAGTATTACTGGGATACTGCTGGAGTGAAAGGAAGTGAGTGTGTGAAGTTTCCAGAGTTGAGTGTGGACATTCCCAGGTTAGTGAACCCAGACATCGGTCAGCTGAGAAAGCACTGACTTCTCTCAGGGGCAGAAACACTGAGGTGTAGAGTCAATTTTGCCAGTAACACACAAACACACACCACTGCTCTTGGAACCCAGAAGGAACTAGCACACTTTGGAGATACACAAACACCCATGACCTTTGTACCCAGCACGCCCAGAATTAGGGCAGACCCCAGTCTGAAAAGCCACATCCTCACTGCCCCGGGGTGGGGTGGGGGACGGACGGTGGGGGGAAGTGCAGAGCTCAAAGGGTTACAGACCAGACCAGAGCATCCCTCGGACCCCACTCTGCCGATGGATCCCCCTGGCAAGTCAGACCCCACTCAACCTTCTCTCCCCACCTCCACGATGGGCAAGTTGGCTCTTGGCCCATCAGAAGTGTGACAAGCAAGATGCTCAAATACAGGGCGCAGGGTGAAAGGCGGTGATAAGAAGTGGAGCGAGACTGGAGGCCCGACTGGCCCAGGGAGCTTGGGCACTGCCTCCTCCTGCTGGTCCAAATGCGAAGGGCACGGACCTTTCGTGGGTCACGTGCCCGTCGCGCCCAATCCCAGCCTCTTGCCACGTGAGGCACGCCAGGAGCGTCTGCCGGCGCTGCCCCCAACCCCGCCCTCGCCCCTCCCCAGGTCCAGTTCACCTACCCCTGGCCACCACAGGTTAAATCTTAGCCCAAGCCCACACTTCCGGGGACCACAAATACGGCCCCCACCGGATGTGACCTCCCTCCAATGTTCAGGCACTAGAGCTGGGGCTCACGTCAGTATTCTGAGGCAGATGGCCTTAGAAAAGAGTGCTCCTCCTATGTTATTTCCTCCAATTTTCCACTTCCGGCTCTTTTCAGCCTCCCCACCCACTATGACCCTCGTCCCCTATCACTTGCACCTATTTCCCTAATACCAGGCCTCCGTTTCCCCAATTTTCCTATTCAGAGGGCGCTGACACAGGCAAAAAGTGAAAGTGAGAGAAACAGAAGCTAACTCCTTACTCTCCTCTTGTTCATTCACTCCACATACATTCACTGAAGACCTGTGCTGTTAAGACCTGTGGATGCAAAAGTGAACACACCACCCCCAGGTTAAAGGAAGTCACCTTCTTGCCTGGGATGTCAGAAGAAACAAGAGATCTCCCTATTCTAGCCATCTCAGTCCTTCAGTTGACTTTGATCAGGAACAAAAATTATTAAGGTAGGAATAGGCATCCTGTTGCTGTGCTGTGCTAAGTCGCTCAGCCATGTCTGACTCTGTGATCCCAAGGACTGTAGCCCACCTGGCTCCTCTCTCCATGGGGATTCTCCAGGCAAGAATTCAATAGTGGGTTGCCATGCCCTCTTTCCAGGGGATCTTCCCAAACCCAGGGTTGAACCCAGGTCTCCCACATTGCAGGCACATTCTTTACCAGGTGAGCCACCAGGGAAGCCCAAGCATACTGGAGTGGGTAGCCTTCCCTTCTCCAGGGGATCTTCCCAAACCAGGAATTAAACTGGGGTCTCCTGCATTGCAGGTGGATTCTTTACCAGCTGAGCTACCAGGGAAGCCCCATCCTGTTTTTACCCACTTCTAAAAACTGTTTGTTGAGCTCCTCAGTACTGGATCTTGTTACGTTGGTAGACTGGATGGAGAAGTGATGTGAACAGAAGTTACGAAGGTGAGTGGGTAGGTCAGAATGTGAGGTAACAAAGACATGATATTTAAGAAGCTGACTTATTGAGAGAGACTTGGGACCTGAGTTGGAAAAGCACTTTTCAAAAGAAATTAGACCATGTGGTATGCATAATCCCCAGTTCAGATCTCTATGAAGACTTTGTTGGGTTTTTTTTGTTGTCAGGTTTTTTTTGGTTTTTTTTGGAACCCAAGTCAGATCCTTCTAGCTGTTTTTCAGTCCTGGTCCTTCCTCCTGGGTCTCACACTATGCCCAGCAGTTCAGCGAGCTCAGTGGACAATGGTTTTGTTCTCTGAGCCTTCAACTAACCCAGTGTCTAAGGGCCCTTGTATTAGATCTTCCAAAGACAAGTCAAAGTTGCCATTAGAAGCTGAAGTACACCAAAACCAGAGAAAATGTAACATCAGATTATATTGAGGTGTTCTGTACCTGCTCTGCCCTCTCCAGCATCATATTGAGAATCCTGCAAGTCTAAAGAGCCCCACAGGTCTCTAGAGGTGACCTTTTTATAATTTGATTTTTATTTCATGTTGGAGTATAGTTGATTGTGGGGCTTTCCAGGTGGCTCAGTGGTAAAGAATCCCCCTGAAATGCAGAGGACCAGAGTTCGATCCCTGGGTTGGGAAGATCCCCTAGAGCAGGGAATGGGAACCCACTCCAGTATTTTTACCTGGAGAACTCCGTGGACAGAGGAGCCTGGTGGGCTACAGTCTATAGTGTCGCAAAGAGTCAGATACAACTTAGCAGCTAACTATACTATACTATAGTTGATTGTGTTAGTTTTAGCTGTGCTGGAAAGTGACTCCATTATACACATACATGTATCCATTCTTTTTTAGATTCTTTTTCCATACAGAATACTGAGGAGAGTTCCCTGTGCTATACAGTAGGTCCTAGTTGATTATTTATTTTATATATAGTTGGGTGTGTATGTTAGTTCTAAACTCTCAATTTATCCCTCTCCCACCTTTTCACTTTGGTAACTATACATTGTTTTCAAAGACAGTGAATCTATTTCTGTTTCCAAGAAACCATTTCTGATGAACTGAGATGAGTTCTCGGTTTTTAAGAAACCATTTCTTGAAAACAAGAAACCATTTCTGATGAGCCAGCTGGAGAGCATGTGTGCTAAGTCACTTCAGTCATGTCCAACTCTTTGCGACCCTATGGACTGTAGCCCTCCAGCTTCCTCTGTTCATGGGTTCTCCAGGCAAGAATACTGGAGTGGTTTGTGATGCCCTCCTCCAGTGCAGGAGTACATTTCACCCCAGTGAAGATCCTTTCACCCTAGCATTTAATCCTCTCTGTGCAAACACACACACACACACATATACAAACACACAAACAATTTTTAAGAACAAAATGAAGGGACTGGTGTGATTGTTGATAAACTGCTCAACCAAGACAGGCCAGACTCAGTTTTTAGCCTGAGTCCTCTTTGGTATCACACTG